ACCATGCTACAGCTTGGGGCAACACCTGAGGGCAGGACAGAACCTCGCCATCATCAGGTGTCGCCTTCACTGTGGCTGGGGCTCTGTCTAGCAGCCTACGCGCACCTCGAAGAGCGTCGAGACGCGCGTTGGGCTGCTCCACGTCGGCGATGTCCCGCAGCAGGCTGGCTGCACGGTGCATCCATGTCGCCTCAGCCGAGACCCGCGGCCAGCGCGCGCCACTCACGGGCAGCCTCCGAAGCCAGCGCGGCTCCACGGGGCGAGCTCGCCCCTTGTGCTTGACCCTGTCCTCCTCGACCTGGTAGATGTCGATCCACTCGTCCTCGGCTGCGTCGAGGAACCTCTGCCACGCGGCGGTGAGGTTACCCTTGACGTCGGTGCTACCCTTGACCTGATCCCGCACACGCTCCTCCAAGTGGCACGACCTTCCCTCACTCGCAGGCCCCGCAACGGGCGGCGGTGAGGTCACACGGGAAACGTCCAGGCATTCCGACTCCTGCGCGCCTGCAAGCACGCTCTGCAGCTCGTGGCCGATCTCGGCCCAGCGGTCGCCGTGGGCGACGCGAGCACATCCAGCAGGCCGCTGGACAGGGAAGGGCTTGGGCACTGGCACGACCCGAACCCACGGCCGTTGGCGACACGCCTCCAGCTCCAGGATGACAGGCTTGCGCGGGTAGACGGGCGACCCGCTGACCACGCTGATGTTGGTCACCTTGAGCCCACGCGAGACGATGAACATATCGATCGTCCGCTTCGACTGCGCGCAGGTGGGCTTCAGCGTGTCGACGACGACCGCATCGAAGAGCCGCAGCACGCCTGACTTGACCAGCTCCTGCTTGGTACAGTTGAAGTCGCCCCCGACCACGTATGGGCGACCGTGCTCGCGCAGCCTGCAGGCCAGGTCGCGCAGCATCTGGGCGTTGAACGCGTTGACGCCGACGCCTGACTGCAGGTAGATGTTGGCCATCACGATGCCGCCTCGCAGCAGCCCCGAGTGATGGAGCACTTGCACGCGCCCTTCTTGAAGCACAGAAGGCCGCGAGCCCAGCATGGTGGCAAGGCCATGCTCGCTGCGCACACAGGTGAGCAGCCCCCCAGTTGCCAGCCCTCCAGCCAGCGATGGCACCGCGGCAGCACCACATGCTCGAAGCCCTCGACGGCGAAGCTCCCCTTCAGCGTCCGCCGTGCGCGCTTCTCCCAGCCGCGTCTCTTGGAACAAAATTGCGTCGCAGCTCGTCAGCTCCTCGACCAGGCACTTGTCGATGTTCGAATACGCATTCATATTCAACGTGACGAAGCGCCAGGAGCTGCTGCGGCTAAAGCTTCCGCCGCTTGGCCTCCTTCGCGGCGTCGTGCTGTTGCTGCAGGCGGGCCTGGAACTCCTCGATGAACTTCCGCTTCTCCGCGTCCGTGCCGATGAAGTCCTCCGCCGCGGCCTTGAAGGTGTCGCCCGTCGCGAAGGCCAGGGGGTCGCCCTCCAGGTCCATGTCTTCGGACTCGCCCACGGGCTTCTCGGCGGCAGCGTCGCCGGCCCCAGCGGCGGCGGCAGCGCGGCCTGCAGGTGCGGCTCCTTCTCCACTTCCTCCAGCAGCGACTGGTTCAGGTGGCGTGGCAAGCGCGGACGCACCTGCCAGCAGCGCTTGGAGAGGTCCCAGCAAGGACTCTGGAAGCTGGACGCCCTGGCTCTCCGAAGAGGTTCCCACGAGCGTCCTGAGCTTCTCCACGTTGCCGAGGATGCCGCTGAGATCTGCTCCTCCAACAGCTGGCTTGGGCTCGGCGCCGTTGGCGAGCGCGGCCTTCGCCTTGGAGACGGCCTCGTCCAGCTCGAGCTGCAGCTGCGCGACCTTCTCCTTCTGCTGGAACGCTGCCTGCAGCGCCTCCGTAGCCATCTTCTGCTTCTTGTTGTAGTCCGCCTTGGCCTGCTGGAGCCGCTTGCAGGCCTCGTCGGCTGCGACCTGCGCAGACTTGACGAGCTTGACGTCGGACAGCACGCCCAACTGCTGCTGCAGCAAGAAGCGCGACTGGCGCAGGCTGTGCTTGTCGCTGGCGGCCAGCGTGACGGACAGCAGCTCGAAGTCGTCGTCACTGAGGGCCATGAAGCGGTCGCGGGCCTCGGGCGAGAGCTTGGGCGGCTGCGCCCCAGAGCCCCCGCCACCTCCACGCTTCGGGTTGGCCACCGTGTGCCAAGGGCGGGAGTCTGCATCTCCGTCCGCCCACGCCCCACGCGCTGGAGGAGGACCAGAACGAGGAGCAGGTACACGATTGGTCGGCCTGCAGCCCGTGCACCCCGCTTGCCGACACTTCGCGCGCCAGCCCAGGTTCTTGTAGTGGCAGCGGTCGCAACGCCAACTCGTCCCCTGAACTGCGTCACGCGCTGCACCAGCGCCAGCGCCGCCGCCGCCACGAGGCTGAGGAACCATGCCGCTGCGGCTCGGCACTGGGCTGCCGAGCTCCTCACCTGGGGCGGACCAGGCCGAAACGCTGGAAGTCTTGCTGCGGCAGCAGCTTCCGATCTGCCTGGAGGCTGAACAGCCTCCCAGGAAGTCATCTTGAGCCAAAATGGCTACGGAGGGAGGCGGAGGCGGAGGAGGAGGAGGAGGAGGAGGAGGAGGAGGAGGAGGAGGAGGAGGAGGAGGAGGAGGATGGAGGAGGAGAGGAGGAGGAGGAGGAGGAGGATGGGAGGGGAGGGGAGGCGGGGCCGAATCCTCGTCCGCGCACACGCCTTCGGCCACGGCTCGCGAGCTCTCCTCTCGGGCGCGCCCCCCTCCCGGGCGCCCCGCTCTGCCGCGCCGGCGCGGCGCTGGTGGGCCCCGCCAGTGCGGCGCGCGCCCGGGGCGGGGCGCCCCCCGCGGGCCCGAGCTCGCCGGGCACCGCCGTGCGCGTGCGCCGACGCGGGGCGGCCGCGCGTGGCCTCTCACGGGGCCCGTCCTCGAAGCGGAGCGATCCGATGCGGAGAGGAAATCTGCACGAACGAAGGTATCTGCACGAGCGAAATTCGGGGGTGGACAGACCCCTCCTACCCTGACACGTCGATGAAGGGATTGGCCGTTTTTCGGTTCGCGAGAGGGCGTCGCGGCCGTCATTTGTGCGGGTCCAGGTCCGTCGGTTTCGGTCCCAGGCCGTTTTCACTAAGGGGAGGTCTATTACAGGGAGGCTTGTCCACCGCCGAGAAATGGGCACGGAAAGAATGGGTACGATGCCCAGCAGCAGTCCCTGCTCATTTTGAACAGGGCTCGTTGTCCACGCCGCCGCGGCCCGTGCCCCTTCGAGGCAGAAGGCCGCCCGCCCAACAGCGGCCGCTGTTGGTTTGGGACAACATTTGTTTTTGGGCATTGTGCCCATATTTTCCATACCCATTTCGGGCGGCCAAAGATTCGGAGAAGAATGGGCGCGATGATGAAGTCGGGCCTGTGCCTCTACAGGAGGAGTAGTCAGGAGCAGTCAACAGATAGACCAGGAACGATCTTTCGGCTACGTTTTGGCCACTTTCGAGCATTTTTTGGGCAATCTTCTGGTGTTCGCCCCCAATCTGCCTGTAGGCGGATGTGCCCGACCGAACGCCATAAACATGAACGTTTGGCGCCTCGCGCGGACTTCTTGGAGCGGCGCCTGCCCCCCTTGGACCCCCCTCCCTGGCGCGCGGAGCGAGCCAGGGTCGGCGGCGGAGGCGCCGCCAGGGGGGGCCAGGCGCAGATCCAAGAAATCCGCGCGGAGCGCCAACAGTTTATGTTTATGGCGGTGTTTCTTCTTCTGATCGATCCGTTTCGCCATCGGTTGCGGCTGGCCCGCTTCTGGCATGCCAAGTTCTCTGGCCCGTGCCAAGTCAAATGCCGTGCTCGCTTTCGAGCCGCAAGCGTCTATGGACACGTTGGTTGCGTTACGCACATCTGCACATTCTGTTTGGATGCTTCTATGGACAACGCGGCCGTTGCGCTCGGCGCAGACGGAGAAAGGAGATATCGGACAAAGGAGATATCCGTCTACGGTAGGTTCGCCTCGTGTCGACCGGCGGCGACCCCGCCAGCGGCGTTCAACGCTGAACGCCGCGGGCGACCCATAATCGTTCGATGTGGAACGAGTTGGACGTTTCGGACACGCCCGATCGTTCAAGGTTGAACGATCCCCCGCGGTGTCAGGAACCAACGCCGGGGTCGACACGACACGAACCTGCCGTACGGTGTTGTCCTGTTGTAGAGGCGGTCCCACAGGGCACTCCAGCTCCGATAAGACTCCGACAGCCCGGCGATCCGAGGCGGCCAGGTGCGCTCATGGGCCATGGTGTGCCTCCCGGCGCCGCCGATCCAGTTTTGGCTCCGGGCTCCGTGGCTAATGGAGCCCGATCCGACGTGGAACATTTCGATTCAAGCCGCTTTCCCGATCCGGTCGCGCAGATCGGGCCGGGCGAAAGGGGGGGATTGGGAAAGGGGGGGTTACGAAATTTGCTGCATGCAGCTGGTTTTGGCCTCACCGAGGGGCCCATTCCTCGAGACATAGCCGCCTCCGGCGCCAGGAGGCGCCGGGAAAATCAGCTACGTGAGCTGATTCTCAAACCCCTCCTTTGCTATTCCCCCCTTTTCGCCCGACCCGAGCAGAGACCGGGGATGAACAAACGTTCCGACGTTTTGTTGTTCGGACGTTGGAGGGGGGTGGTGCTGAAGAGTCGATTCCTGGACCTGGCCTGGGGTGCGCTCCAGGCAGGATCTCGAGGCAGAGCCAGCCGTGGCTACGAGGAGCCTCGAGGAGGCCCAAAATCGCCCCAAAGCCTCGATCCTCGAATCCTCGATCCCGATCCTCGAAGGGAAGACTCGACGACGACGACGGCAAGTGACGGAGACGACGACGATGTTGACGACGGCGGCGACGAAGACGACGACCACGACGACGGCCGCGACGATGACGACGACGACCACGACGACGGCCGCGACGACGGCGACGGCCACGACGACGGCGGCGACGACGGCGGCGGCGGCGACGGCGGCGGCGGCGGCGGCGAGCCCGAGGACGGCGAGCGGCCGGGCGCGGGCGACCCCCGCGGCTTGTGCCCCCGCCTCTCGGAGCGCGTGCTCGCACTCCACGACCTGGCCCCCACGGTGCTGCTGCAGGGCTCACCTCGACTCCTCCGAACCGACTCGATTCGGTTCGGTTCGACTCCTCCGGTTCGATTCGATTCGACTCCGATGGTCTCCGATGGCCTCCGATTCCGATACGATTCGGCTTGGTATTCCGATTCGGGCTCCAATGTCTTAATGGAGGCGTACTAGCCTGCCGATGTCCGCCGACTCGATTCATTTCGATTGCAGATCCGACTTATCGATTCGATTCGGGGTTCTCCTGGTGTTGCTGGGGTGGAGATGTCGTCGTCGTCGTCGTCGTCGTCGTCGTCGTCGTCGTCGTCGTCGCCGGCGTCGCCTTGCGATCGAGGTTCGAGGCTCTAATTCCGAGCATCGAAGTCTAGAAGACGAAGGAGCGTCATCAGCATAAACTTTTGGCACTCCGCGCGGATTTCTGGGATCCGCGCCTGGGCCCCCCCAGGGGCGCCTCCGGCGCCGCTCCCGCCGCGCTCCGCGCGCCAGGGAGCCCAAAGTTTCTGTTCATGCCGTTTCTTCGCCTTCTAAATGTCGGACAATCGGGGTTTTGGGGCGTTTCTGAGCTTCCCTTCGGGCGTCCTCGTCTACATTGCGGGACGCCCTTCGAAGTTCTGGCCTGCGGGGCCTGTTGGCAGGCCCTGGCACCACCAGAATGGATCTGGGACGACAGACTGTCCCCAGGGGAGGGGCCGGGACTTCAGCACCGCGCATCGAGAGCATCACATCGCACATCGGCGGATGTCCGGGGAGATCGGCCGATGCTGGTTCGGCCTTGGCATGTGACACTTTGAAATCACATCACTCCGCGTGCTCGGCGTTTTCGGCTTTGGGGCATCGGGCTCTGGGACTGTCAAAAAAAATAACACTCAGGATGCAGAGCCGGCTCTGGGGAAGAGGGTCAGGGCTTCGGGGGCCCGCATGGGAACAGAGAGGTCTGGGTCGGGTCGTCGCCGTCGCTGCCGCAGTCGATCGAGCGGTCGGTCGCAGCTCGAGACCAGCTTCGGACGAACGGGGTGGGTTTTTTGGCAGGGGGGGGGTACGGAAGCCACTGCGTGCAGTTTGTTTCGGCCCCACCACCGGACGCGTGTTCCTGTTCCGCCATCATGGGCGCCTCCGGCGCCGGAAACGTCAGCCATATATGAGCTGATTCGTTAAGCGCCTTTTTATTCCTCACCCACGGAACCACTCCAACCCACCCCGATTGCGTCGATTTGCCCTCCATTTCCAGAGGAGGGGTCAGTGAACATTAGAAAAGCACATATGGAAACTGTACCCGCCCCCCTTCAATCCCGAAGTTCGAGTCTTCGGGTTGGGTTGGGGTGCATTGGGTTGTAGTCATTTACCACCTGCCCCCTTCGTCTGAGCCGAGGTGTCGGCCTGGGGATCCTCGCAAAGTTGTATGTGGGGGCTGTCCAGAGACGACGCAGGATGCACAGCCGGTCCCGCGGGAAGTTGCTGGGTCTTCACGACATGCTCCTCTTGGCCTCCCAGAAGGGGACGAAGCACATGGGCTCGGAGGATCGAGCCACATCGCCGATGCATCGGCGAGGCGGCTCGATGTGGAGCCCGATTCGCTTCACGTCGACGTCGCCGATGCATCGCCGACGTCGAGGATGCATCGCCGACGCATCGCCGATGCTTCGGCGATGCGGCGCGATACTCTGACCCCATCTGCTCCGACCCCATCTGGGAGGCCTTCAGCTCCCCGCAGCGCGCCTCGGGGGAGTTCTCGTTGACATGCGTGTCTCCACCTCCCTTCTGGGCCTCCTGGAGCGCTCTCGTCGCCACTGCGGGGGGTTCCCTGGAAACTCTCGCCACCCCTGGGTCGTCCGTCGTCGTCGTCATCCTCGTCGTCGAGGGCGTCGATCGTTCCAGGATCGACATTGGAGGTTTTCTGCACAGGCTCGATCCTTTCGAGGATTCTAGGCGGCTCGATCCCCGCTCCACGTTCTTGTCAAAATACCACCTCAGGAGTGGTCGGGGGGGCGATTTCGAGGAGAGAGGTCGTCGCCGCGCAGCACCCCCGACGTGGTCACAGCTTGGCGTTTGGGGATCGGCTCGGCTGCTCTTCCGAGCCCCTGTTGGGCCTGCCCAACTCTCCAGAGGTCCGCCTCCCCTGACCCCTTTGGGGCCATCCTTAAGTCGGGCGTGTCCCTCTACAGGAGGAATATTCAAAAATAGTCAAAAACTAGTTTGTTGATGATTTTTGAGTACGTTTGAGTTTTTTTTTTGAATATGGTTTGATTATTTGTTTCACAATTCCCTTTTGTGAGGACACGCCCGACCTAAGGCCATCCAGGGCCAGCCTGGGGCCATCTTTGTCGTCCCGGGAATATCCTGGAGGACACCCGGTGCGCTCCATGAGCTGTCGTGATTCATTTTCGGGCCCTGTTGGCCGTCTTGGCGGCGCTTC